ACCCAACTCGAGGTACAGTGCATCTAATTCTCATTTCCTCCCCTCTCCATACTCAACGCCGATATGAGGGGTTCTCAAATCCACGGATTCTATACACAAGAGCCCGGGTTCGACCTTTGAAAACAATTTTAATTCTCCACGTGAGGTGTTCACCCAAATGACAGATACGAATGAATTTCTTGACTACATCGCAAAAATTTCAAAACAAAACGAGCTACTTGGACCTCATTCCGCAATTAGCAACTAACGATCCGTACAACAAGACATGTCTGAGGGAAACTAATGGTGCATATATCTCTAACTCTAGGTCAATAGGCCCCGGGTTCGAATCCCGACAATCGCGAGACTGACGAGTGGATCTGCTGACACAAATTCTACTCGGCCTTAATCCCTGAAAATTTGAAAAGCCTGGAGCCTGGCCTTGATGTCTACGGACATTCAGATACCGTCAATAGATGGCTGTAGGTCCTAACGGAATAGAAGCCAATAAACCAGCAGAAACAAAACAAAATTACTAAAAGAACCATGGGATTCTGTGGGGTAATATGCAGCTTGTCGCCACCCCCCCCCCCAACTTGTTAACCCGCAAGGGAACTTCCGTTCCCTACCAAAATAACCCTGTAAAAATGTAAGCACAAATATGTAAACTTTCGGAACAGTACCTTCATAAGCTTACTGGCATCACTCACGCTATGAATTTTTGGAACCGCCATTCACTAGTGTAAATGACAAAGCCTTTAAATTCATTTGACTATGCAAATGAAATAACTATGTCGACAAAAACACGAGGTAGAGAGGTTGAGAGCCCCTGACTGGTGCATTGCTCCATATAATTAAAAGTAACCCAGGGCCGTGATACGATGGGAAAGCTGGAAGCAAGCTGGCAAGCACGTTATTCCCATCTCTTTTCCTCCCCTTGTTTTCGGCGTGCCGCGCCGTGCACTGCTCGCTCGTCGACAGGGGTAAGGGTACGAACCACTGAACCAGTTCTTCCTGTCCATCTTGCCACCGGAGCCATAGAGATCAATTCCACCTTCATACGAGTTGCGACTGCACGTAAAAATTCAAAAAAAAAAAATCCAACAGCCGAGCGGGCCTTTAACGCCCTTTGACGCGGGTTAAGCTATTCTCGCGAAATTGTTCAGCAAAATTAAGCCTCCTTCGACATAATGTGCAGAAGAAGCGTAATCACGCTTCTAATCAGTTCCGGATGAGGAATATGGTACCATGCTAAGGAAGAGCGCCATAGATGAGCTTTAAAACGTTGCCAAATTACCTGTGATAAAGTACGGATTTTCCAGAAAAGTGGTGGGTAATTTTCTTCAAATACAGTGAATTTTACCCGAATTTTGATCTGAATTATCTAGAAAGAGCGCCGTATGAGCCTTAAGACGTGACCAAATTTCCTGTGATAAAGTACGGATTTTCCGCGAAACTTGTGGATACTCTTCTTTCAATTTTACAGTGAGTGCTATCCGCAATAATTTGATCTCAATTATTTGACAATTTTGAGAAGAAATATTCATACCTGTCCTCAAAAATACACACTTTATCGAGGGAAACTTGGCAATATTCGAACGATTATACGACGTCCTTCCTCAGCACGGCATTTCAGGGAAAATCAAAATTTATTTTTGAATAAGGTCATTCAGTAATTCTTTTACACGAACGAGGGTAGGGTGGTTTCAGAAAAAAAAGGATACGATTAGGGAACTTTCAAACTTCGATTGACTAGGGCTGAACCGAAGCCAAAGATGCGCGGTGCGTTAATAAATCGATGGCCAAAGTGCGTAGCCACGGCCCTTTTATAAAGTTGTGTTGCCTTGTTCCTCCCCGAAAAAATAAAATAGAAGCGGAAATTTTGAAACACCACATACTGCCGTACTGAGCAAGAACGCCGCAAGGGACATTTGAGTATTGCTAAATTTCCTTCGATGAAATGTTCATTCTGTAGGAAAGTTATAAAAATTTTGCTTTGAAAGTTCAGGAGCTTTAGGTGACACTGCGAACAAAATTATCTGATAATCGGAGGAAAAATATTCATTAGTTTAAAAGGAAATCCGTATTTTAGAAAAGGAAAGTTGGCAACGCCTGAAGGTTCATACGGCGTTTTTCCTTAGCGCGACTTAATGGGTCATAGGGAATACGTGGTTTTGCACTTTGACCATCAATTTTGCAATTAGGAACTATATGTTCCGGCCCGGTTTAAAAATAACGTAAGTATGTACCATTAGTTTCCCAATGCTCATAAATGTTTTTTTCAGATGAGCTAGAATTTATAGCTCCAAATTGCAAAGTGCAGTCCAAATACATTCTGATGTTCGACGCATCCTACGGAGGATGTTTAACACCGAAAGAGGATTTAAAAAGAGGAAGGAGAAAGGAGGAGGGGGCGGAGTGTGCCGTCCGCGTCTCGTGTTTTCTTAATTATTTTATTTAACCGTTAACTCGCCTCACACCCCACTAATCTCTTGCCATCTTTGATAAATACCGACCGTTCGAGCGTCTCTTCTCGAGGAAACTCAACATTCGTCTTCGGGATTGGACGTCGAGCGGCTACGAAGCCGACGATACAGAAGAAGAAATATAAACCGACCGTTTTGACCGCTGAGCCCAGCCTTCCCGTAAAAAAGCTCTCGAGGCTCAGCTCATAAAGATGAGGACGCACGATGGGTCGAGTAAATTGGAAAGGTCGGACATGAAATTTTTTTACCAAATCTGCTTTGGATGTATATTTCGTCACATTTTAAATTCCAAGGGATGCTTAAGTGCTGCACTAAACTTGACGAGGAAACCAACGGAACCACTGTTAAAACGTCGAAGTTTTGTTTAAACGGAGTTATAAGCGTTTCAAGTTCAGGGTGTCTACAGAAACAGCCTGGTCAAAAATAAGTACTTTCACAGTACTTTTTCAGTACAGTCCCAAGAAATTCAGTACCTCCTCCAACAGAAAAATTTAGTACTTTTTCAGTAGGTACCTCCATTTGACGAAAGTCGAAAAATTTCAAAAATTTGAATTTCGCGCTTAAATTGCTACAAAAATGACGGGAAAATGAAAAAAATTCCGGACCTTTGTGCGGAATTTCCGCACTTTCTCAGTGCTTCCGGACCGCCCTTAAACTATTTTCGGACTTTCCGGGAATTCCGGACTTGTAGACATCCTGAAAATTGTCAAATTTTGTCCGACTTGGCCTATTGCCTCGATCCACAGTGCGACGGGCCAACCAACGACTTGCCGAAGCTTCCAACTTCGGTTTTAAAGTAACGCCTCATCGTCGTCTTCCGGACGAAGGCACGTACGCAACTACATTTAAACGTTGCACAGTTAACTCCAACGATTCCATTTTTGGCAAGAATTACGTTCCAAGGTTCCAAAATTGGACGCATTTCCGCCAAACAGAACTATGTGCATTATGACGTGAGCCCTGTTATACATGTATTCTTATGTGACGCAGGGCTCATATCTTAATGCACATAGTTCCGTTTGATAGGAATACGTCCAATTGACTCCGACGTTTCAATTTTTTACATGAATATACCCGTGCAATTTTTTCCAAAATTCTTGCATGAGATGAGAGGAAAAATTAGTGAAATTTTCATTTAGAAATTCCCAAGATCTTCCGGGTAGAAATGCAATTTGCGAGGCGAAATTGGGCAACATTGAAATGTAGTTACGCGCTTTCGTGAGGGAAACGACATCATGTCGGGTGAACATCCCAAACTCAGGGCATGAATGTTCACGATTCCGTTTGCATTCATCCAGAGATGAAGTTTCTCTCGAGTGGACATCAGTTTGAGAAAATGTTGAAACTTTCAAAGCCGGTAGAATTTCAGTGGGTAAATTTACACTCGGGTGAGAGGAAGAGTAGTGGATTCGAACTCACAATCAGCCTATCTATATATATCTTAGAGTGAGGAACCCGGTCAATCCATCCTGGCTGTAGCCCTGAAGGCTATTCGGACTACAACTTCTGGTTCAGTTTAGAAACAACGTATGTGCCATTAGTTTCCCAGTGTACATACGTGTTTTATTACAGATGAGCCAGAAATTATAGTTCCTCGTGGCAAAAATTGAATTCGAAAATTCGAATTACCTGATTCGGACTTACAACAGGAAAAATAACTCGCCGAATGTTTCATAACTTGCCTTAAAGATTAATTTTCAATACCTTCAGGTCCTCTTTGGCATTTCTCAACTGTTTAAGGGAAGACACACTTCCAGACATGAAGATGTATGAGAGAGTTATCAATCCTTCCTCAGTCATTTTTTGCCTGCTGTTAACAGCTAGAGCACTGAGAATCCATTTTTTTTTTTTTTTTATAATGAGCAGGTACTAAGTAAAGCTAGGGATCCTGACATTCCACAAAAAAGACCCTACGCATAAGTTCCTCTATATTTCCAGAATGACTGATACCATACCACTGAGAATTCAAACTGAAAATCAATGAAGCCCCAGGACTGGGTTGATAATGACTTCTTTTCATGAGAGACAGCCCGAAAGAACAATACGATGTAGAAGAAAAAATTAAAAATCTAGAATTAAGCTACAGGGTTCTGGCTTTGGGTGGCAATATTGCAACGTGCATAGCGGAGAAAAAAGCTTGAAGCTAGTTGATCGAAAATAATGAGAATTACATCAGGTTAACAGCAATTAATTTGCAAGTTAGCAGTATTGGAAATCTAGATTAATTTTCTTCTGGTTCTGCCGTAGGTGAGTCTTTTCTGAAATTCTGCTCATTTAGTATGCACAACCTGTGCATATTGTTAAAAACTTGAAGTTAAAAAAGTCATCAACAGGTTGAACCGTTCCTGAAATCTTCGGTGCCTACTGATTTTGATCTAGCAGGGTGCAAAAAACATGTGTTACCTGTGTGTTGTGATAGTAACCATGACAACAGGTATTCGAGAGAACACCTTATACAGCTTAGCTAGCACAATTTCCTATCGCATATTTTAACTTAAGGAAAAAGTGAAGAATATGTATACGTATGTTACTTACGGACTGTGATCTGCTTCGGGTCGTAGGCTGCAACTTTTTCCTCGACTGCTGAAATCTTGCTCTTGAGTTTGGAGGTCCTATCCGTAATATCCTTTAGTTGCTTGTTGAGCTCCTCGAAAATTTCATTCGCTATTAACATAACAGAAGCCAGTTGCTTCAACGCGTTACTCAACGTATAATTCGTTACCGCATCCAATTCACCGTCGTTGATGGTAGGTTTACCATCATCGGTATGGAGAACAGCCCGACTCAGGTATTTCGGCGCCACAACCCGTTGAACGAAAGGCATTGTGAAACGTAATTTACAGCTTCTATACGGAACAACTCAAGAGGGATTATACGTAGGGATCGGGAGAGCTTTCACTTGATAAAAATGAATATGTATAAACAAATATTTAGATAAATAAAACAAACAAAATTAACACTTTTAGGTATAACACTTCACATTTTCCGCTCGGGACCGAAATCATAGCGGGAACTACCGAAAACGAATTGCACACATTCAAGAAGAGGAGGAATGGTTACCGGCAGACGAAGTTGCCGGTAAGAAAAGCACATGTTCACCACATCACAGAAAATATTACGGTCGCATTTTCTGCGTTTCCACCCGATCCACGTCCGCCTGTCGCATTCGGAAATCACGCTTTGTTCATGCCGCACCGGCCGTTGAGCGCGAAGTAAACAAAACAAGTTTCCTCGTGCAGCGCGCATGCGCACTGAAGTAGAGGTAGTTTCTGGAGACCGCCACCAGAGCAGCACTGCTCGGCTCATCAGAGGTTGCCATGTTGCCGCTCTAATTCAAAGTACCCGATAACCAGTTTTTCGACGGTGAAACTCCGAAACCACGTACCTTGGTTTGAAACGTTGAGGACTTAATGTCACACTGAGAACTAGTGAACGTCAATTTATTCTTAAAAACCTCTATGTTGTATGGAAAGGTGGTAACCCCCCCCCCCCCATTGATACCAATTCATACCCGTGCTGTTTCATTTCGGAGGAGGGGTGGTGGAGAGGCCCCAAACGGCGTTCCCTTACTATGTTGGTGCTTTTTTTCTCTGTAAGAGGCAAATCCGAAGAAAAGTTTAAGTAATGATTCTGATTTGTTCTCCCTTAAAAAAATAAAATAGGAGTGAAGATTTTTAAACACTGCGAACGAGACACGTTAGGGAGTCTCGCCGCCGCTTTGCTTTAATTCTCTAATTTTTTCAAAAAATATGTGACGAATTCTTGCGATGTTAGTCACGAAAATTCATATTCACGCCCTCTTAGAAGGCTTAATCAATCAGACGCAAAGTTATGATGCAATCTGATGATTGATGAGAAATTCTTAAAATTTCTTTCCATCACCCAGAGCTAAATTAGAGTATTT